CATTTGCCAGTTTCTTTCATGATTTGTGGCCGTGGGTTTCTAAGAAACATCTGACGAAACATTTTCAATTCAGCGGATTGGTCGACGCTCTTCTATTCAGTGGTCCAGAGTGTTCCAGGATTACATGATAGCGACGGTGCATCGCTGATAGACAAACTCCCTCGAAAGCCTCGAGAATTCTATGCTTGCCTCAAATAGTTTTCACTTCTTTTTTGTGTCTGTGTGATCTGCTTCGTTTCCTAAAGGTTTATTGAGACAGGAAAATATTCTCTGTTACGCGACCACAAAAGCACTCATGAGACTTTTGAGGGAAACCAGTCTGAAGCGATACGTTACCGCATACAATCAACCCCACGAAATGAAGCCCGTAGATTTCAATAGAGAGAAATTATCCATAACTAGCTTCGTTGTTTGCCTGCGCGGTAGCATGTGTGTATGTTTTATAACTCAAAATCCCGCGACTTCTGTTGTCCGTGTCCATAACTGAACAGTATACCTCTGTTACGCAATAACTGTGAAACCAGCCACACAAATGTGAATGGTATCAACGGCAAGTTCTGCCAATTTAAGACCGCATGACGTTAGAATAATGGGATGGAAACATTTGGACAGGGTGCTGAATCTACATAGGTTAGGAATGGGAATCATCGTGACGGGTATCCAGCAATCGGGAATAGAATACGTACTAAGTGACGTGTTGAGGATAAAAGTGAAAGCATCCTTTAGAGCCAAGGCACCATGCTTTAGAAGGGATGAAGATAAACCGTCAGGATGAATACTAATGGATGATTTAGTTATACGAAGGAGTTTAACTATTTTTTATCTCGAGAAAGGGGTTATATTAGCAGCGTATTCCGGAATTCATGAAACGAGAGGATCGCTACTCAGATGTGCAAATGCCCGAGTTATACTCTCAGAGTCCACAGTACAGTCATTTGGTTTGGATTTCGCCTCACATAGGATCCGAATTCCTTTCCATAGATGTCTCCTGTTTTGGCTGCATATGAGTTGATTCCCATAGGCTGAGTCGATACGTTTATTTTTTTTATCGATGTAGAAATATAACTGACCATTGATGAGCTCCGGGATTTGTAGAAATGTTCCTTGTCTCCCCAATGTTCTGAGTTTCGGACATGCAATGCGACCACCGGGGAGAAATAGGATTTCCAACGGGCAACAGATGTCAGAATTGATTATATCAAAAAAAGACTAATATTGTTGTTCAATGAAGGCTCAAATGAAAACCAGGAAACTGCATGCCATAGGGCTCTCTGAAGGAGACGAATATACTCACGTGATGTGTTTCAAGGACGGATTTTGATTTGGTTACTTTGCCTGAACGAATGGAAGGCAGAACGGGAATCTATCTTAGGTCTAAGAAGGAGCAGATAATGATCACTGGTTGATACGGGTGCACGGAGATGGAGGGAAAAGAATTCGGAGTGAGGCATGGTTAAAACCACCCACAATAATATGCAGCTTGTCCTTTAGCAGAGTACAAGAAAAGGTAAAATGAGTTGAAGAAACGATTAAAAATCATCATCAGTCCATTGTGATATACGGAACTAAGCAAGTAGGTCTGCTTTTGAGAAAGTAATGACGGGCTTCTTTTTGATAATAAATACAAATTAAGACAGCAGTAAAATTCAAGGACAAATCTCAAACTGAATACCGGAAAAGTGCACTAAAGCACAAAGAGACCTGAAGCGCTGCACTTCAAAAAGCTTTTCAGCGATTAATTCACAAGATATACAGGGAGTTGGATGAAAGTATATTTAAAAAACCAAAGTTTTCACCGTGACAAATTTAAGTGTGTAAGATTTCCAGTCACCTCCGTTTAGGTACTATTCCTTTCTCTAATTAAAAATACCCTCAATTAATGTTTTGTGGCTTCAACTTTGGGGTACTAGCAACCCATTCAGGTTTAAATAGCCCAAATGTTTTCTATTCGCTTCAAATCTGGGATGCATGCAGACCACACTGTTCTTTGGATGATGTAAAATAACAGCATTTTTATACACGAGTTATGAACTACGACGATTTCATGCTGAAAATTGGCTCCCGGATGACCGTTGGATATCAATACTGGTATCAGGTCCCGCTCCAATCTATGAATATATGTATCAGAATCTTGCAATTCACGTAGTATAACGAGTTCGTTGGATTCGTTGCTTTATAAGACACCCAGCACCATCACAGGGTTTCGACCGTTTACTGAAATAGCGAATTTCTTTCGACAGATCATGCTAGTAGTAAATCGGCGCATCAGGTTTATCTAAATCAAATGTCTCTAAAGTAAACGAAATTTATCCAAGTTAAATGAACTTCAGTTAAAAACGATTGTTTTTCACTGGAAGCACGGTTTCTCCATAAAGAATTTGAATAGAGAAGCCAAAAACACAGGTCTGGCGCCTACCGTGGTACCAAATGTGTTCAATGAGTGATTCTGACCGCTATCTTTCACCGTCTATGATTCTGTTATTTCTGACCATACATTAATGATCAACGCAGTATGCATGTGCACGGATGCAGCGAAATGATCCAGGATACATTGCGCAAACCTGTTTTTGGTTTCTCCACCAAAAGCATTTTTCTGTCCGTTATTGCTACTAGAGATTTGCGGTCGTACGTAATAATCTGCGCTTATCTTCCTACGTAAGGTTCTCCTGGGTTCCCATTCGTTTATGGCTGGTTTAAGCTATTTCTGCTTCAACTATCGAGCCACAGTGTGATTCGGACCGATGGCATCGTCTGGTTATCTTACGTTTGCTGACATTGATCTTTCGAAAGGTATCAGTTCTGGATTTCTCGTTATCAGTAAGCTTATTCCCTCACGCCATCATTGGTTATGTTCCATTTTTTCGATACATTTTCGTTAAAGTGTAATTAGATGAAATTTCGTATTTCGGCTTCTCATTCGATTGCTGTCCAGATTCTCAAGATTAATAATGATCTTGAGGATCGAAGGTAATCCAAAACCCAAGGGAGGAGGGATGAAATACTTTCATCGAGGGGGTTATATGTTGAAGTTAGGTTAGACTGAATAGTTGAAGTTGATAGATGGCTCCACCGTCGCCCGGCTCGCTACCACGCCTGATCTAATTAAGCCGTATGTGCTCGGCCATTCCATGTCTCAGGATTATGGTTGCTGGTTTCCTTCTCGTAACATAAACATGACAAAACAAAATCAGGTCAATCCATGCACTCGTAATGCAAACAGGCGCTCGCCAACATTTGTGGACTGAACCACTAGATAGATTCTGTACACCAATTTCTCCATTCCTCTTTTTTGACCGAAACACAAATCTTACCCGCGTCAGACACCAACCGCCTTCAACTACCCAACTACACTCTCCACTCCTTTCTACTCAAAGTTGGTGATCTGCGCCTTCATCCACAAATCAGCCTCCACCTCTGGAATATCAAATCTTGACTTTACAAATTTCAGCTGATGTGGCTGAAGCTCCAGCTTTTTTTAATCATTACTTTCGTGTTATCTAGTGGCGACTCCTCCATCTTTCATCTTTTATCTTCGAGCAATGAATACTTTCTTGTAGCCGACCCCAACCACTATGTCACCATCTCTGGAGATTTCGACGATCATAATCAGGAATGGTTGACACATTCAGCTGCTACTTCTTTAGGGTGCGAAGCCGAACATTTCGCTTTAGTCAACAACCTGAGTCAAACTACTTGACTATCCTACACCTGTCCCTAATCGAGCTGTCGACCGCGCCCATACTCTCGATCTAATTATCAATTCAGCCCCTTTATTCCTCTAAGATGTTTGTACTCTCCCCGCACTTGGCTCATCGGATCACTATACTGGTTCTGACTCTGCCAAGTTTACCTGGCCCGATCCACCACCCACCTCGAGACACATTCTGGCGAAACAACTCAGCTAACTGGGACGGTTTCTATGATTTCCTAGCTTCTTATCCATGGAACGATTGTTGCTTCTCTACGGACGTGTCAGTGGACTCTGATCTTGAAGACATCTCCCCTTGGGGCAATGTCAATCATGTTTCATTCCATCCTTCCAAAGCATTTCTTTCGTTTTCTCTAAAACACCATTCATTCCTCCCCCCGTCACTCATATTTTGATACCAAACAACTCCGTTCCACAGACCCTGTTTCCCTTTTTGGATTGCCTATAGCTTCTTTATTCTGGTTCCCTTTTATAGTTCAGCTAGCTTCTCGTGCTGCTCTCAGGGTTGTTGTTTTTTATTTCGAGCTAGACACTTCTTCTTCCCGGGTCAAATGCGCCCTGCTCTTAAGTCAGTCACGTGTGGGGTGGGGCTTAGTCTTTTGATCTCTCTCTCTCTCGCTCGCTCGCATTATGTGTAATAAAAAAGTCCGCTTCAACTAGACAAAAGGTAATCATCAATAATGGGAACAAGTGATGGAGGTAACGTAGCTTTGATCGATCCTGTTTATTTTCTTACGAATACACAAAGCGATTTTTCATACTACTGACTACGTCGAGGTTCCTAAACTTCGCTCATTTCTTAGAATCCCCGACGGATGCGACATAGCAGGAGATTGACTGCATTTTCGACTATCATATTCGAAACCACATTTAAATTCTATCATCAAAAATATTCTCGAGGCCGCCCTTAAGAGAAGTAGAACTATATAACCCCAGATTACCGTGTATCGATTGCAGTAAAAAGGCTGTTCATTATTACAAATAAACAGTGACTAAATGACGAGCAGCAACAATAAAAATATGTGATCATCCCCTCATGTTTTGGAGGCTGCTTTGCCAACTGTTTATACGCGGATTCAGAAACGACTGCACTTTAGCGAATGTGACCTAGAGCTGTAACTCTGGTAAGTGAATCATCTTGTTTGTGTGGAATTCACTAAATGTCAGCTAGTTTGATGACCATTCTTCAAAATGAAACAGATCACCTTGTTGACAAATTACTCTTTACTTTCGATGACAAAAAAGCAGAATACAGACAAACTCCAAAAGTATACAAACGTAGATTCGGTATTCAGTCATTGATCTGCTTTGACCGCGTTGACAGTGATTCACACTGAAAATCGTCGTCCCCAGGGGCTTCGTCTCCTTCTTCCGGTTCATCCGGGCCATCAGCGTCAATTTCTTTATCGTGATTGGAAGTAGGAGTGCGACCACAAATCATCGGTTTCGGCTCGAGGTTAGCCATACGCATCAGGTGACAGCGTTCATGTCGTCCAATGTAATGTCGTAAGCTTCGAATTCCACGCCATCCGGCAAACACGATTCGACATGGGACGCTTGGATGTTGTTCGGTGAACTGATATACAAGAGTTGGGAATGGACATAAAATAATTGGATGGGTGAACACCGGTGACTGAATGTCGAGAATGGAGAACCTATCTATATTTTCTCACTTCAACTGAAACTATTACCANCCGTTGGGAATCCGAACGATTCCAATCCACGAGAAAGTTCACAAAGTGATTGATCCTTCATACGTCATCAATAGGCTCGAGTTCATCAAAACCCCGTCTAGTCGGAATGAACTGATTTCCCCATAGACAACCAAAAATACTTGTTGATTGAAAGTTTCGGTGGGGTGGGCTTTGAATGTTTGTC